AGGAAATCGGCTAATGGACTCGCTACAGCTCTGAGAATTATTCAGATAAGTGATAGAGCACCAGGGTTTGTTTGCAGACTGGAGAAATAATACATCTTAGCATGCAAAGGTACTTTTTTTTGATGGTTAAACTTCATGAAGTTGGTACGGGCCCACCTCTCCAGAGGGACCTCGACAGGCTGGAGAGGTGGGCCCGTACCAACCTCATGAAGTTTAACCATCAAAAAAAAGTACCTTTGCATGCTAAGATGTATTATTTCTCCAGTCTGCAAACAAACCCTGGTGCTCTATCACTTATCTGAATAATTCTCAGAGCTATAGCGAGTCCATTAGCCGATTCCCTCACTGACCAGTACAGCAAATTATCTGGACTCCCAGGGTGCTGCAGTAAGCTCACATTTCACAAATATTTTCTTACTTGCCTTTTATCAGTTACTGCATTAAATCCTCATTGATTTTCAACTGTCCCTCATCTCAATCGCTTTTTAAATAGATTTCCACCACTTCAGAGTTATCAATCCCACTTCGGTGCTCCTATATTAATAGGCCTTTTGTATTCCTTTCTCCCCCGATATGTTTGTGAAAGCTCTTCTTTCCTTACCCTTCTGGCTGTTGTTAATTTATTGTCGTTGATGCTCTCGGCTTTATTCTCTGAGGCTTAAATCTAGTCAGTTAACTATTTGCAGTCCATCTTGCTTCATTCAACGGAAGGCTACCTTGCCACTTTCCGCTGCATACAGTGGAACTGCAGAGCATGTGGCTACTATGGCACTTAACTTTTCAGACAAAATCATAATGCGTTCTGAGGCTTGCTTATCACTCTCCTCTCCCCCTCTTCTGTCCTACTAGCTCACATTTTGAGAGGTCCTGGTGCTGCTAGTGTCACCTGGAGAAAAAAAGGTAGAGAAAATTCCATTTGTTACATGCTGGGTGTGCTCCTCTGCTGGGGCAGTGGAGGGTTTTTCTCCTGTACACAACCAGACTCAAGTGCTGCTGTCTGAGGATTAATCCATGGTCTCTTGGAAACCAAAACTTCAAATCATTCTTCAAATTAGTTGTTCATACCACACCACAGGAATTTCAGTGACTCATAAATCCTGTTATTTCTAAAAGTAAGGGAAGTATTTGAAAATATCACGTGGAGCTTGAACATTCTAGCCTATTTCACAGACCAAGTTCTTCTACTAATCAGGACGTGTTACACCTCTTTGCTTGGACGTTCACCTCATGTTTCCTGTTCTAATATGAGGTACAGTGAGTGAGATCTGTGAGTTTGCTGCCACCCTATATGTGTTTTTGTACGCCAGACCACAGTATTATGAGTTTCTGGAGAGCAGCCATATACCAAACAAAAAAGCAGTTGCAAAAACGAGATGTTAAGTAAATGAAAGGATTGTAGCTAAAAGGAAGATACTATTTAGCCACTTTGTACTTGCAACCAACTTTGATATCAAGTATACCAAAAGGAGAACAGGAGAAATGACCAAAAAAAAAAAAAAAAAAAAAAAAGAAATACAGTGCAAATGTTGGGAAAGGTTGCTTTGATCTACTAACAAATTATTGCTTATTTTCTGCAGTTTAGTAAGCCTACTGGAGCAATACTATTTGATTCTATTCTATCTCATTCTTATCTCTACTTCTGCTGCCAAATACACTTGTATTTTGCTAGCTAAGTCGTATCACACTGCTGTCTGCTAGCTCTTTAGATTCTCAGAAGCCCATTTGGGATGAAACATTAAGTCTTGGAATCTCTGCAATAGTGATTTTTTGATTTTTTTTTTTTTTTGAGGGTGAGGAGATGATCTGAAAAAACACATTTGGTCAAAAAATTTGATTAACTATGAATTTTTATTTATTGTCATCTAAATTAGGAATACCTCCCTTAACCTTTCTATTTCTTGATGGCAAGGTGACCTAAGACTTAAATTCCATTTTTCCCTTAAGTTGCAGTAGGTTGGAACAATGTTTTAGAACATCTAGCCAATATTCTTTTGGGTACGTAGAGTAGATTATTTATATTTTTCATGGCCTTACAATGATTTTTTTTTTTTTTTAAGCCAGAGCACTTCCATTTAAAAAAGCACTTTTGCTCTTTAGAGCCTTGAAAGCTCTTAGTGCAGCTTAGCAGCAACAGCCTGCTGAGATACTCTTAAGAAAGACTAAAGGTTTTATCTCATCACTTATGTTCAAAAGCAAGCTGCTTCAAGCCCTATGTAGTGCAGCAGCAGCACTGAGGTACAGAAGCTCAAAAATCTTGCAGTGGCCTCGTGTACAAAGACACTTCAACTTAGTAAAGATAGCTTTGGCAATTGTAGCCAAAAGGTAGCCTATCCTTAACTCTGACTTAAAATGCTCCTCTCTTTTTTTGTTTTCATTTAAGAGGATGAGCATTATGAAAAAAGATTAGGAAAAAAGCACAGGTGACTTCAAAACTTGAAATGAAAGAACCATCCACAGTTCTCTAAATCATGCTATGGGATCCTTATGGTTATCAGCAAGACTTAATTCTGTACTTTTACTCCGAAATACACTCTCGCTTTGCTAGAATGCTGCTTTAGTGCAAATAATAATAGAATTATAAGATCTTTAAAAAAACCTCGTAGCTTTCTGATAATTGGGTTTGAGAACCACTAAGGCTTCACAAATGAAATACAGGAAAGGGTATAGTATGTAGTAGGATGAGTTCAGGCAGTTATGGCATTCATCTGACAAGTCACAAACGTTTGTTTGTTTGTTGTTAAATACTAAGTTTTTACAAAATTGAATTTAACAACCTCTGTAAAGTTGGGGCTTTTTTGCAACTACAGTAGTAGAACTGATTTTGGTATGTTCCTCAGTTCGTGTGTCAAAATCTGAGTAACTAACTGGCATAAGCGATCCAGAGCTTGCTGAGCCCCGACAGATGTACGTTTCTTTATTTGTACAAGTCTTAGTACTGCTCTGGAGACCCCACTTGGAAAAACACATTTCGTAAGAATTAAATAGAACTCCGGGCCAATGTATCAGTATTTTGCTTGTGAGTTGCAGGAAGCCGGCACTGGGTCATTAACAACAATAACGAAAAGCAGATGCCTTATTTCATCTCCAAAACAACCACCAGAAAAATCCATATATATAAGCAACCCGGTACTACAATATAACATATATGCAAGTTTCTGGTGTGCGTGCACTGAGGAGGCAGACTGAGGAACCTGGATTTCTATTCAGCCTACAGAGTGCCTACCCATGGCCTGTCATCCTAAACGTTACATTTGTTCACACCGTTTTGGCAAGCCACCTTCCAGTATGCTACGGACCTTTGGCAGGAAACACAGCTGTAGTGAAGCTTTAAGTAGGACCATGGGTCCACAGCAAGCACTGAAATGCCATCTTCAAGCATTGAAGAAACAATCAATTTATTTATGCATAACCTGGAGTAAAATTTTGCTTTCCTCTTAAATACAAGGTTTGGTAATTTGAAACCGTTAATGGGAGGGCCTGGTCAAGAACAAATGTTCTCTTCACGTGACTCCAGTACCTCCTCTGGACGATTTCTGATCCATGCTTTATAGCATCTTGGCAAAATATATACATTAATACCACCAATTAAAAAAAGGTATTGCTAACATATGCACCCATTAAGTTTTGAGAACTAGACAACAAAATACTAGCAATTCGCATAAACATAGTAATTTTGCAATTGCTCGCAAGGTTTTATCTAAGAGGTGTCAGAATAGCAAACCACAAGCTCCTTATTCCTGAGGAATGCTTTCAAGGCTGTCCTCCCCACCTGCACTACATTCATGCACACATTATGACCTCAAGCAGAACAACTAACAAAAGCTGATTTGCATCAACTGGGAGAGGTCGCTGATTCCCAGGTGACAGGAGCAGGTAGCTAGGTACGGGCCACGCGGGAGCCCTCCATCTCCAAACACAATTGTCACAGGCTGCACAAACCCTTTAAGTAAGAGGCAAGAGACAAGGTTGTCCAACAACAAGCAGTCTTGCACTGCAACTGTTTCTTTCTAGCATCCCACTCACAGTAGGCTGTGAACACCTCGCCGAAGCATTCTTACTTCTGACAAAGCCTTTTTAATACAGTTTTTGCCCAGAATTTCACATTGCAGAAAATAAAAGGAAACTTTAATTGTCATTAGTTTATTTCTTGGATGTATAAAAGGTCCATTCCAAAATAACCCAAGAAATTATAAAATACAACGTTCAAATGTTTATACCTGTGAATTTATTATTGCAAAAGACTTAGAGAGGAAACAAAAATTAACTCAAACAGAAGCATTTTATTTCATTACTCAACAACAAAATTGTGTACTGGAGGTATCTAAGAAGTTACAAAAACAGGTTATTTCAGAATAAACTTCAAAGTCCTAAATATTTAAAAGTTCTAATGGTGGTGGCTTAAGAGGAATCTTTCCTATCGTAAACTTTTTCGCTTCAAATTGTTTCAACTCTTCAGCTGATAATTCACTCTTTGGTGTAAATAACTTTTCTGACATAGTATTGTTTGGGACTGCAGAAGATGCTGATGTTACATTGTGTCCAGAGGCACTGGCAGTCTGTCCAAATAAAGCACTGCTTGAATGTGAGGGAGAAGCTGCTGCTGCTGCATTGAAAGCTCCAAAGGCTGTAAACGGAGCGGTGCTTGAAGAGCTCACAGAAGAATTGCCAAACTCTGAAAACCCAGAAGTTCCAAAACCACTGGTTGTTTCAGAAGTTTTAAACGAGAAGGAGGCTGCAGATGGAGATGCTGAGCTGCCAAAACCAACAGAACGGGATACGCTAGGAGAGGACGTCACACCAAATGCAGGAGGATTACAACCAGCAGAAGAGCTCCCAAAAGCAGGGGTGTTTCCAGATGATGCACCAACAAGACTGGAACTCGTTTTAAAGGAGAAACTGCTAGCACTGTTACTGCTGCTGTTCACAGGAAAGCCTGCAATTATAAAATTTATAAATAATGTTAGAATTTCCACATCTGTAATATTAAACCACTGCTGTATTTCAATAATGCAGAAGAAATAAAACTCAGGAAAATGTTTAACTGTTTGTTCTTAATGCAGTAACCTACTTGACAACCCAAAGCTTGATGTCTGCTGTCCTCCAAATCCAAAGGAAGGCAATGGTTGAGTGATCGTGTTCTTTAATTCGGATAGCTTAAAAAATTCCAAATACATAAATAAAAATTAGATTCCAAACAAGGGAAATGTCTTTCAATAAATACTTGAAGCAAAAATGTAGCTGCTCAGTCCAATTCAATACAACTTAGACCAAGTTAGACACTGACCACGTTCATGTTGATTGCGTGCTCCTGCAGCTATGAACAAAACGCTGCAAGGCTATACGCTATTCTCTGTAAAACACTCCAGAAACACCAATATATTGCAATTTACAGATTTTTGTCTGTCAGTCAATGACCTGAACACCTTTTCCAGCTCTTGTTCTCATCTCTTACCTATTTTAGTTAGTGCTTTATGACCCTATCTATGTCATTGCTTTGACTTAGTTTGTTCTCTCACCTTGGCACACCTAGTCTTCTGTGCTAAAGCCCAAATCCCTGTTCTTCACCTTCAGCAATGAACATATCAATGTGTGATCATATTTCTAAAACTTTAATGCACTTCATACAGACTCCACTTAAATTAACTTACTCTGTCTCCCTGGTTATTTAATACTGGCTTTAACTCGAGCATTCTTTTCTGACACATCTAGATGCGCAAGTGTTTGTCACCTTCCCAGAAACAACTACTCTTTATTTCTTCAAATTTTATCCAAATAGTTTCTCTCCCACCTACCTATCAATTTCTCATTCTGGCATTACCAAAATGCTCTGTTTATCCTAAGATGGCCTGGAGGACAATGCCAGTCCCATGTGCTGATTATCCCTTGGAAGAGTCAACATCAGCACATGGAAGAAAAGGTGGAGTGGGTATCTGCCTCTTACTATATATGTGCTTGACCAGATCCCAACCTTAAGCTATCGTTACTTTCACGTGGCTTGCTATGAACAGTATTCGAAACCTGGAATCCAGCTGCTGCCTTGCTAATATGGAATCATCCTGATTCACTACTTTCCTTAGCTAACTAAAAGGTTTTATAATACCCGCCTGCAATTCACTGATTTCATGATTCCAAGGAAAGGTGGATGCAAGACGTAAAACTGTGTCCACAGACTTTCGCATTCACCTGACTCAAGCAGTGTTAGAATATTCAGTCACGTTTCTATCGCCTATAAAAAACACAGATGGAGAGACGGGGCAATTTTCCAACTGCAATGGTTATTCTCTTATATTATTCTTCCTTACGCCCTTTCCACTTTCTCTAATGTTCCCAGGAGCGTTCTAAGATTCCTGTCAAGATCTTTGTGCCACTAGTCAGCTGAACGCTTTCAGGCCAGGTGTTTTTCAAGGCTTAGTTCCAGAATATAACACACTGTGGCTGAAACTTTCAGAACAGTTCATAGATCTACCATGTCTCACTTACTGAGGTGCAAACAAAGACGCCCGAAAAGAATCATGTATATTTGATTGTAAAATATAGTATCCTGCAATCTTCAAAGCAATACCTGTCACCTATTTATATAAAGTTAGTAGAAGTATAGTTAAATATTTTGATAACAGCTGAAGTTTCTATGGAACATTTGAAAGACCTCTTCAATAAAAACAAGGTAGCACATTACAATTATCATGTCTTAGACATCTTTGTAGCAGAAACTAATGTTAGCATTTGCAGGACAGTTTGGTGGGATGTGTCTAAAAAAACATGAATCTAAGACAAACGTTTGCCCAAGACTAATAAACTAATGACATCAGGAACAGAAACATTTTACCTTTCGTTAACACTTACCAAAGCTGCTTTTGTTGATGCATCTAAAGATTTCAACTGAAGCAGTCGATTTTTCCATTGTTGAGCTAACTGTTGCACAGAATTTATCTAGAAAGGGAGAAAAAGAAAAGCATGTTTTTATTATTGGTGAAGATTTAAAAAAAAAAAGAAAAAGAAAATACAGTGATCTGGCAACTAAACTGAAAGAAGACTTCTAGAATTAGAAAAGAAACTTTATTAAGCCAAGACGACAAGATTTGATTTTTACTTTCCTGAAACTTCAAGGTAAGAAGCTGAAATTTTTGTTATTAACACAGAATTCCTTTCAATTCTATTACTGTTGTCCTTAAATCAATTTTTTTACATCACATAACAATAAGATTAAAAAAAAATGTCCTGAGGCTTTCTATATCTAAGTTCTATCACTATCTGAATTTGATGCTTTGGAAAACAAACAAACAACAAACCAAAAAACAAACACACAAAATATGTAAGGTTTAAGTATAAGAGAACAAACTCTTCAATTCTTATTTCTAGCTTGTCCACTGATGTGCTCACTCATGAAGCTAAGTCCTAAGATTTGCCTTAGCTTCCCACACATCTTCTGAAAAAAAATGCCCACTTTCAAAACACTGTAATTCAGAATACTTCAACAGTATCATCCTAAAATAGTTAGCTTTGCAGAAATTAATTTCCTTAATGTAAATCAGTCTATTTATATGATCCAACAGATTACTGCACAGACATATACAGCAATAAATAGCACCTGTGTCTATCTGGTAACTGTGATTAAACAAGAAACTGGAAAGTCATTAAATAACTTACTTTTCAGGAATTTCAAACCTGAATTTCCTATATTTAAGTTTATCGACACATCTTATTCGAAGCCTGGCCTAATTGAATTTTCCTTAAAAACTAGCCAAGTAAAACATATAATGTCCCAAATGCCTGGAACAGTGGAATGGGTAATCTTTTTGTAAACAAATTCCTCAACTTTTCAAAAGGGTCTTACATCACAAGCATCAATAATTCTTTTGTGTCTAGTCACATGCTGGAAGATCATGTTGCTTGGTATCAGCTCTTACACAAAAGACTGGAAAATTCAGATTTCGACCCAGTTTAAGAATAGAAACAGACGCTTTGGAAAAGTCATGTTGTACTTGAACATTTTGTGAGAGAACTGTATCGTACAGTTATCGTCTACACACTGAGGCTTCTGTGAACTTGCAGTCAGTGCTTCAGTGAGGCCACAAGTGGTTTTTTTTAATAGCCGGGCATAGTGTATTGTTTAATCACTTCAGTTTATTTTTTTAATTGAAGTTTTTTTTTAGAAAAAATCTCTCTCCTGTCTCTGAGAATGCAATTCTAGTAATTCTAAACACACGAAGCAAGAGTGGGACAACAGCAATTCCTTCTGTAATACAGAACCAAGGGGAAGAAGAAAGAGTGCATTGTAGCTTGAATTATTTTGTACTTGTGTCTATCCAATAGGGTAATTCCTTTCCTGGCACAACATTGAATTGTGCTAGCCTCCTTGATGTTGATAGGACTATGAGAGAGGAACAATACATACAAATTTTTTTTTTATATATATATATATATATAT